ATCCTAAAGGAGATCAGTCCTGGGTGTTCATTGGAAGGACTGATGCTGAAGCTGAAACTCCAGTACTTTGACCACCTCATGCGACGAGTTGACTCATTTGAAAAGACCCTGATGCTGGGAAGGATTGGGGGCAGTTGGAGGAGGGGACGACAGAGGATGAGATGGTTAGATGGCATCACCGACTCGATAGGCATGAGTTTGAGTAAACTCCGGGAGTTGGTGATGGACAGGGAGGCCTGGCGTGCTGCGATTCATGGGGTTGCAAAGAGTTGGACACGACTGAGCGACTGAAAACTGACTGAAAATACCTGATATCTCAGAGCATGAGCTGATAATTCAATAACTTAATTGCTTTCCATAATGATGCAGAGATTTGTTTATGAGCAGGATAGTCAGGAAATGAACTCTTAGATTAGTTTGTGTTTGGTGCCCCAGTATCTCAGGTGCTCTCTCTCATTGAAAGCGGACGTGCACACGGTCTTCCGTAAGCTCGAGCACACACTGTGTGGTTTTCTCCGTGGTGTGCTCTCTGTCCTTTACTCCCTCCCCTTCCCTCTAGCTTTCCTCAGGCCCTTCCTTTATGATTGGGATATAAATTCCATGTACTATAGGAGCTCATCATTTTAAAGTGTGTGATTCAGTGGATCTCAGTATCTTCACATGGCTTTACAGTCATCACCATTGTCTAGTTCCAGAACATTGTTATCATCTGCCCCCCAGAACCTCATCCTGTTTAGCAGTCACTCCCCATTCCTCCCTCTCCTTAATTCCTCCTTATTCCTTGATTTTCAGAGGCTCTTAAAATACTTGAAAGTTTACTTGATTATCAGTAATGCATATAGCAAATACTTTCACCTGGGTCAGTTTCTGTATTGCTAGGATGTGGGGAAAACTTTTTAAACCACAATGCAAAATCTAAATACAATAAAAGAAATTATAAAACAATTTTTTCAGCATAAAACACCAAAGACAAAGAAAATCTAGGACAAAAATATTTGTAACAAGTATTACTGCTAAATGGGTAATCTCCCAACTCTTTTAAGAACCTTTAAAAATTAAGGAATAAAAAGATCATAACACACACACACACACACACACACTTAGAAAAATGGGCAAAAGTCACGAACAAATGGTTCATAGAAAAAGATAAACAATGGCCCTTTAATATATGAAAAGATTCTCGACTTCCTTAACAAGAGAAATATAAATAAAGACTACAATGTGAGAAACCGGTTTTCACTCGTTACATGGAATATATTCAAAAGCTTGGCAAGACTGAAGAAAAAGAAACTCTTACACATTGCTCACATGAGTGCAAAGTTGTACAGCACCTAGAGAAGGATATGTGGCAAAATCTAATAAAACCATATACTCATTTCTTTGACCTAGAAATCCCCTTTCTAATAATTTATTCTGAAGATGCACTCAACAAATACAAAACAATATTTGCTTAAAGTTATTCACTGCAGCATTTCTGATAATAGCAAAGTTATTTTTGCTACCTAAATGTTCATCTATACCAGACTGGCTTACTTAACTAATACATCCTTGCAATGAAAAACAAGTCGTACAAAAATGAGGAAGATATCCAAAGAAGTGATCTCTAGGAGTGAATTCCAGGGTACATTGTTAAGTGGGGAGGAACAAAAGGCATGGCATAAAAGAATGTTTATTTTTTACAAAGAGAAACACAGAAAGCATAAACGAAAACTAGTGAAAATGGTTAATTACTATAGGATGTGGTTGAAGGTGAAGTGGGATAGAAATTGAGGCTTTTTTAAAAGTATAGACTTTTGAAGCACATGTTTTATGTATTTAATAAAGTTAAATCAGAGCCAGTAAAATATTTGAAGGCAAAGTTAAATGAGTGCTAAGTCACTTCAGTCGTGTCCAACTCTGTGACACTATGAACTTTAGCCTGCCAAGCTTCTCTGTCCATGGGATTCTCCAGGCAAGAATACTGGAGTGGATTGCCATGCGCTTCTCCAGGGGGTCTTCCCCACCCAGGAATTGAACCCACATTTCTTATGTCTCCTGTATAGGCAGTTTCTTTACCACTAGCGCCACCTGGGAAGCCCACAGTCAAATGAGGCTGTGTATCGAATTGATAATAGAAGCACAAAGAATAAAGAATTCAGATAACTTTTGAACAGAGTGCTCCATGTTTATGCTGAAATCATTGTGGGAAACTTTGTTGGGAAAGCGGATATTTGCACAGTTTGGAAGTATCCCCCACAAATTTTTTGCTAATTATTAAAAGGGAGAAGACATTTTGCAGAGGAGAGTGTGAGCAGGCATCACCTTAGCCAAGTAATCAAGCCTCTTTTTTTAAATTGTAGTAAAATACATTTAGCATTAAATTTACCATTTAAACTATTTTTAAGCATATGGTACTGTGGCATTAAGTACATTCACATAGTTGTGCAGCCGTATCCACTATCCATTTGCAGAACTGTTTCATCTTCCCAAACTGACAGCCTGTACCCATTGTAAGTAATTCCATTTGTATCATCCAGTAACGGACTAGCTTGATGTTATGTGTGTGCTGTGGAGGTGGGATGGGAAGTGCATTTCAACTTTGGGATATTCTTGCCAAAATATTTAGCCTGAATCTGATAAGGAGGAAATAACCAGACAATACCAGAATGCACTATATCCTATATGACTCCTGGCTTAGTCTCTAAAAATATCAATAACTTGAGAGATACCTACATACATAAAAGGCAGGAAGATTGTTCCAGATGATAAGAATCTAAAGAGATGTGACAACTAAATGCTGTCAGAATCTTTGATTGAATCCTGGATTAAAAAAAAACAATTATAAAGCACATTTTTGGGGACAGTTGAAATACACACTGTATGTTACACAAAATTATGATATCTGTTAAATTTTTTGGGTATGATAGTTATAGTGTATGATGGTATCGTGGTTATATGGGAGATTGTCTTTGTTCTTAGAGGTGAAATCCATGATGTCTAACTTATTTCTAAATGGTTCTTTAAATAAATTAATAGACTAATTGTATTTCATTTATTACATATTATATGTCTTTTCACATATATGAAAAGGGGAGAGAAATAAAGAGACATAGTAAAATAAGAATTTGGGGAAAAGGAGGCAATATACAATAAAATAAAATGGAACTACTATATTATTAAAGGAACTGTAGGTAATTAATGTGATAGTTTTTATAAATATGGATACTTTATAGTTTATGCTTTTACTCATTTTAGTCATCATATTTTAAACTAGATAATCAAACTACATAAAATCTTTTCTTGAACTCTATTCCTTTGGTTCTTATGCTGTAGCATAAGATTTACATAGGTCTTTAATTCAGCAAGTAAAATTAAAACTGAATATGTCTTCAGAGATGCATTTTATGGAATTTGATTACATTGTTTATTTAGAGAGGGAATCTAGTTGTAAGAGTTTAGATTCTTAAATAATACAATGTGGAAAGGTTTTTAAAAAGCATTTCTGTTAGACTTCCTTCCATGCAGATTTAATAATACTACAACTTCAGATGGTGACTTGTTCCCTTAAAAATCATTCTTGTCCTTGAGAACAGAGATGCACAGAATAAAAATGAAATCAACATTTGGTCAGTGTGAGTATATTATCTGAGTCCACATGAATCCTTATGTTATTCTGTATTAAAATGTCTCTTTCAGGAGGTGAAATTGACTGTGTGGATAAGGATGGTAACACTCCTCTTCACGTAGCTGCAAGATACGGCCATGAGCTTTTGATTAACACCTTAATAACCAGCGGAGCTGACGCAGCCAAGTAGGTTACAGCAAAGATACAGTGGATTAATTGCCACACATGGGAGTACTGCCAAAGGGGTTCCGCCATGCTGTAGATAGATCCTGTTTCTCCAGGTTAAGGTAGATCTGCTCCATTATGCTAAACACAAATTAAATTTGAACTAAATTAAGTGATTTTTAATGACAGTTGCAAGGAAGAACCAATTTTATTTTTCAGCTATATCAGAAAGAGGCCTATTTCAGTGGTTTTAATTAAGGGAACTTGAACTTTACTCCTAAATCTCTCTTTTTTAATATTCTTCTGTTTTTTCCAATGTGCAGTGTTAATTAAGCAGGAAAAATAAAGCATAATTGGGCAAACTCAGATTTTATTCAGAGTACCATTTTGCATATGTTAATAACCCATGTTTAATGATATGGTTATACCGTGCAATTGAATAAATCTGCCACATAGGGAAGAGGGACCTGACTTCATTTTGTACTTCAATTCAACAAGAATAAGTGAAGCATCTAGATGAATCCATTGCAATGTTGGGTGCTGTGGGAAATTTCAGGTACACGTTACCTGGTTGGTACCTTCCAGGAGCTCATACTTTGGTTGGAGGCCCAAAATCCACTTAAGACGAAGAACCATGCAAGATCATATTTAGCAAAGTTCAAAATGAAACAGAACTTTAATGGCAAAATATTTGGTATAGACAATAATATGCCATAGGGTATAGACAGGAAGGAGAGAGCTCAAAGGTGGCCACAGTTTTGAAGGAGAAGGTGATTTTTAGGTAGACTTTGAAGGATGGGAGTTATGTGAATAGAGCAGAGAGTGGCAGACGTCCCAAGCAGAAAGGAAAGCAGGAACAGATACAGCTCCCACGGGGAGGGTGGCCTAGTGGAGTGGAAGTTGGCCTGGTGGGGTGGAGGGGGTGTGATGGTGCCATGCTCTGCCAAAGGCTGCATTGTATCATGGTGGGAGACCCAGCCTTTAGTGGGCACTGGCTGGGCTCCAGCTCAAGCTGCCTCATTTGTGAGCTGTGTGACCTTGAGCTTGTTGCTCAATCTGTCTGCACATTGATTTCCTCATTTGGCAAATGGGAGTAATAATAGTATCTACCATAGGTTTGTTATGAGGTTTAAAGGACTTAATTACTAGTAAAGCTCTCCAGTATGTGTTAAGATCTGTGTGTGTTATCTAAATGCATCTGCTAAGGTATTCAACAAGATAATCCAACTTAATAGCTCTTTGAACAGTGCCTGGCTCATAGTAAGCTATCAATAAATGCTAACTACTAATTATTAATTTATTATGTTATTATTTATTATTGCTTCATAATATCTAGCATGTTAGGGGAGTGGAAAGAGATGAGGTGGAAAGGCAGGAAGAACCACATTTCAGAGGACCTTGCACATCTTGCTGAGGAGTTGGATACCATTCTGAGGCATTCAGAAGTTGTTGAAGAATTATAACTATGTGTAGGGTAGGTTGTGTCTAATGATGCTGTTTGTGTGTAAGAAAGATCACTCTAATAGCAGTCCAGACAGACTGGAAGTGGTCCAGACTAGAAACACTTGGCAGCCTCTTGGCGAGTGTCCAGAGAAGAAATGCGATTCTCAAGCTAAGGACAAGACTGAGGGTGGAGAGACACTGATGGATACTAATAGCAAGAACAGTGGGTTGTCTCAGCAGAGAAAGGAATCAGCTACAAGTCACAGGACCTGTTTGACCGGAAGGTTGCAAGTCTAAAGCAGCAGCTCAGTTTCCTGGAAAGAGCAGTGTTCTTGGATTTCAGAGCCATTCACCAGATTCTAGGGTTCCCAAGCAGACCATGGTAACCCAAAGTCAAAGATCTTAAATGCTCAGTGTCAGTTAAGCAGAAATAAAGTGTTTAGGCACAAGCTATCTTCACCCTGTAATACGTTTGTATTTTCAGTGGTTTTTTTTTCAGATTTGAGCTCATCTGAAAAAGAGTTTTTTCAAAAAATTTGAACTTTATCCCTCATTTGAGGGATAAAGGTAAATAAGGCTCAATACTTAAAATTTCTGAAAAACCACATTTAACGCAGTAAGCACCAAGTCTATTTCCTTGAGATTATTTTGCCCTCAATTTGTACAAACTCAAACTATGTGGCAAAAATGCCTTAGGAATGACGTTGTTGGTCAAGTAACCTTCCTTTCTACTGACCATACTGGGGACACTGGCCAGGGAAACATTGTCCCAGCCTCAAAGAGCCACATTTGCTTCCTTCTGCCCCAGCTCTCTGGGGTTAAGACATGCTTCCTTCAGTAACAGTGGTTCGTTAAGGCAACAACTGTGTGTGTGGGTGTGTGTCTGTTTGTGTGTGTGAGTGAGTGTGTATGTTGCGTGGGGAGGGAAATCACCTAAAGAGAAAATATCCAAGTGAAGGGACAGGAGAACTGATGATTGAATTTGCTTAAGGCTTAGGCTTCCCTGATAGCTCAGTTGGTAAAGAATCTGCCTGCAACACAGGAGACCCCGGTTCGATTCCTGGGTCAGGGCGATCTGCTGGCGAAGGGATAGGCCGCCCACTCCAGCATTCTTAGGCTTATACCTTGTGGCTCAGCTGGTAAAAAAATCTGCCTGTAGTGTGAGAGACCTGGGTTCAATCCCTGGGTTGGGAAGATCTCCTGGAGAAGGGAAAGACTACCCACTCCAGTATTCTGGCCTGGAGAATTCCATGAACTGTATAGTCTATGGGGTCACAAAGAGTCAGACATGACTGAGCGACTTTCACTTTTCCCTAGGAAGTCACTGTTCTCTGGTCTCCTTGTGGATTTATCTAGGGTAGCTCATTAAAGAGGAGAAAAACAGGCCTTTCCTTCTGTAAGGAAGTGAAGAAAAAAGAGCATTTATGAAAATAACCCATTTTAATTCATAAACAATATGGCCAATGTATTTTTACAGATCTCTTTATGACAAGTTCTATAGTCGTTACTTTCTGATGAATTTATTTACATCTTATTTTCAGGCCTTGATTAAATATTCTTTGTTTTTCTTCTTTGTTTCTCTGAACTTTGTCAGTTTCTGCAGGGTGACTCGGTGCTTATGCAACTTTATGTGGTATCAAAGCCATTGGTTTTTTTCTTTTTTTTTTTTTTTGCCATTGGGTTTTTTCTTGTTTAACTTTGTTAGTTTTGGGGTGCTTGTCTCCAGGATTTTTTAATTTGTATTCCATCTTATCAATTAAACTCTCACTGCTTTTTCGGCCTCAATTGTAGCAGAATTAGTGGTATTATAGATTTCCAGGTGACTGATTCTGATATTCTTACATTCACTGAATATCTGCTGATGGCTTGTTAAGTGTCACCCACTGTCAGGTTCTGGGGTCACAGAGCTTGCTGCCGAGGAGTTTACAGCCTGTCGAAGTGGGGAACGCAAAAGTGAAAGTGTGAATCACTCAGTCATGTTCAACTCTTTGTGACCCCATGGACTGTAGCCCACGAGACTCCTCTGTCCATGGAATCCTTCAGGCAAGAATACTGGACTGGATTGCATTTCCTTCTCCAGGGCAAGAATTAAATAGGCAGTGACAGTCATGCATGCTAAGTTTGATGGCAGAACAACTGCCAGGTGCCTCTGGAGTAGAGGGGAACATATATGGGATGTATGTAGCAGGACCAGCAAAGCTTCCAGAAGAGGGATGGTTAACTCATAGGACAAGCAGCAATTACTTATGTAACTGAAAGTCTTTCAGGTCCTAAGCATCTGCTTAGAATATTTTTATTAAAATGTTTGAATATGTGTAAACATAAGACTAAATAGAGACTCCCTAAGGCTTTTGACGCTCATATAGCAATAAATTTTTAAAAATTACAAAATACATACAAAAAGAAACCCACAGCGTTCACCATAACCGCACAGGACAACAGTAACAAATGCTCATGACCTCTTCCTTATGCTAGGCCCCACGCGGAGAGGTGACGTTTACTGTCACAACAACCCCCTAGGGTAAGTGCTGTGATTATGGCCAACTTACAGGTGAAGTAAAGGAGGTTTAGTTAGCTTTCTGAGGTCACAGAGCGGTGGGTGGAACTAGGACACCATCCTTGATCACCTGGATCTGGAGCCTCAGCTCCTTAGGCAGGAGGCTTGCTGCCTCTCCATGTAATGGATGATGTGATTGATACTTAGCATTTTGCTCGGAATAAGGAAGTCACTGTTCTCTGGTCTCCTTGTGGATTTATCTAGGGTAGCTCATTAAAGAGGAGAAAAACAGGCCTTTCCTTCTGTAAGGAAGTGAAGAAAAAAGAGCATTTATGAAAATAACCCATTTTAATTCATAAACAATATGGCCAATGTATTTTTACAGATCTCTTTATGACAAGTTCTATAGTCGTTACTTTCTGATGAATTTATTTACATCTTATTTTCAGGCCTTGATTAAATATTCTTTGTTTTTCTTCTTTGTTTCTCTGAACTTTGTCAGTTTCTGCAGGGTGACTCGGTGCTTATGCAACTTTATGTGGTATCAAAGCCATTGGTTTTTTTCTTTTTTTTTTTTTTTGCCATTGGGTTTTTTCTTGTTTAACTTTGTTAGTTTTGGGGTGCTTGTCTCCAGGATTTTTTAATTTGTATTCCATCTTATCAATTAAACTCTCACTGCTTTTTCGGCCTCAATTGTAGCAGAATTAGTGGTATTATAGATTTCCAGGTGACTGATTCTGATATTCTTACATTCACTGAATATCTGCTGATGGCTTGTTAAGTGTCACCCACTGTCAGGTTCTGGGGTCACAGAGCTTGCTGCCGAGGAGTTTACAGCCTGTCGAAGTGGGGAACGCAAAAGTGAAAGTGTGAATCACTCAGTCATGTTCAACTCTTTGTGACCCCATGGACTGTAGCCCACGAGACTCCTCTGTCCATGGAATCCTTCAGGCAAGAATACTGGATTGGATTGCATTTCCTTCTCCAGGGCAAGAATTAAATAGGCAGTGACAGTCATGCATGCTAAGTTTGATGGCAGAACAACTGCCAGGTGCCTCTGGAGTAGAGGGGAACATATATG